CCTCTTCCAGCGAGGATTGTAGATTTGTCGGCTCTAGCACTTGACGAGTCATGACATTAATCATCATGGGTTCAAAGTTCATATTTGTCATTTCTTTAGCCAATTTTGCTAAGCTGTCCACCTTACTTTTTTGAGCTCGGGAGACTCGAGTCAATGAAACTTATGGGATTTGCTTGAGGAGCTGAAGAACTCGTTTGTCATAGTAAGCTAACTCAAACTTGTATAAATGCCTCTCACTTGGTTTATGTTGAGTTGAGAATCACCATAAATATGTAGATATCTGATCTTTAATGTGATGGCCATCTCAAGGTCTGCTATCAGTGCCTTATATTCAGCTTCATTATTAGTTTGTAGCTCAGTAAAATCATATGATTATCTCATAATGCCTCCATCAGGGATGACAAAGACGATGCCAATTTCCAGCTCGTGTCATCAGGAGGTTTAGAGGTTGCACAAACTTAATAGAAGAGGCTCCATCGAAATAGAATTCTTAAATTTGCAGCCTCTCATTCTTCTGAATAAGTAAAACTTGTTCATCAAGCAAGCCATCAATAAGCAGAGCGATTCTGCAGGAATAGCTTGTACAACCAAGGAATCTGCTAGAATTCATCCCTTTATTGGCTTTTGGGGAACATAAGTGACATCAAATTGCAAGAGAAGGATTGCCCGCCGAGCCAAGCGACCTGTCAACGCTGGTCTTGTCATTAAGAAATTCACCCGATCAATCATTGAGATGAGTATGATTTTGTGAGATAACATGCAAAGGTGTAGCTTTTGGGCAGCAAAGATCAACACTAGACAATGTCTCTCGATGGGGGAGCAACGCACTTCTGCTCTTACGAGCCTTTAGCTAATATAGTAAAGAGATATCTCCTTACCTTCTTCATTATGTTGTGCAAGCAATGCTCCCAGGGACTCTTCTAATGCAGTCGTGTACAGAATAAGTGGCTTCCCCGAAATTGGCGCTACAAGTATCAGTAGGTTTAGCAGGTATTTCTTGATTCTATCAAAAGCTTCCCGGCACTCTGCATCCCATTTGAAAGGAGCGTTTTTATTCATCAATTTAGAGAACGGTTGACATCTACCTTACAAGTTTGATATGAATTGTTAGATGAGTGCGAGTTGTCCTCATAACGAGCGAAGTTGGCACATACTCTTCGGCGGAAGTATCTCTACGTTCGTCTTGATTTTACCTTGGTCGATCTCAATTCCTTTGTGGCGTATAGTATACCTAAGAAATTTTCAGAAAAGAAAAAACCTAAAAGCACATTTAAGAGAGTTCATTTTGAGGTCAAACTTTATGTTTCTTTCAAATACAATTCTCAAATCTTCCAAATGATCATTCTGATCCTTGCTTTTGACAACCAGATCGTCCACATAGCATTCAACCTTCTGGCGTATCGGCTCGTCAAAGATATTTGTCATAGCCTTTTGATATGCCGCGTTAGCATTTTTCAAGTCGAAAGACATGAAAGTAGCAGTATATGCCAATTGGCGTCCTGAAGGCTGTGTTTTTCATTTTGAGAGCTATTTTGATTTGATTGTAGCCCGATGATCTGCCCATAAATGAGAGAATATCATAGTTAGAAGTGTTATTGACCCACAATTCTGACACTGGAAGCGGAAAGTCATTCTTTGGACACGCTTTGTTAAGATTCCTGAAGTTGATGCAGGCACGAATCCACCCATTCTTTTTTATTCATAGGAATAATATTGGCTATCCAATTTTCGTACTTTTCTTCTCTGATCAAGCCAGCTTCGATAAGTTTCTTAGTCTCGGTAATCACCTGCTCTTCAATCTCCAATCTCATTTGCCTTGGAGCATGTTTGAATGGTGCTACATCCGGTTTGATTGCTAATATGTGAATTGCCACATTAGGAAATAAGCTTGCATCTCAACATATTTCCAAGCAATGCATCACAAAGTAGTAGTCTTATTTCTTCGATCTTCACTTCGGGAAGGAGAGCAAAAATGAAAGTTGGGCAAGGTTCACTGTCAGTTCCCAAGTTAATTTCCTTTAGCTCATCCATCGTTGCAGTTTGTCCACCATCTTACAATTCTTTGGGAGTGGGCTTGACTTCTACATCTTCATTTTTAGGGAGATTTACTTCATTCATGATTTCAACTTTTCTTCATCTTCAACTTCAATTCTCCCATCTGTTATGATGTAACTGTTTGTCTTTCGGCAAGGTTTGTGTTCAACAAACCCTAGGCCTTTAGGGGTACGACTGTCATTTCTTCTTGACACGTGAGGATTATTCTGATACCGCATTCTCTCAAAGTATTGAGCTCATTGCTTAGTGACGTTATTGCTGACTTCAAGTTGTTTCATCATGTGTTGCATCTTCGGAGAATAATATGCAGGCATCCTTGTTGACACCATCTCTTCAGATTTGAAGCATTGAATGAGCTGACCGTAATCGTGCTCTTCATATTCTTTAGATTTATGGAGCAAAGTTCCTGGCCCACCAATCCAGGGCAAAGGGGGCGCATGAAATACGTTCAATGCACAAGAGGCATCTTGAGGTAGCCGATGCAGCGCAAGATGAGTACGACAGATGTTTTCAGGCTCTCATGAACTGCTTTTGCTCACGAGTTTGGTTGGAAGGATGAAGAATCTCTTGAAGGTGATTGGAGATGTGTGCCGTGTAAGGCCAGCCTTCATATAGAGCACGCTAAATAGGCTCAGGTGATTGAGAGAGAGCAGCGTCGACTTCAGGTCTGCCACCTGGCAATGCCTGATGCTGAGTCTGCCCCGACTCAGGCCGTGGAGGAGCTACAGGCCGCTGAGGCAGAGTACCACTCTTGTTGAGATTATGTCAAAACTTCAGAATTTGTAGGCTTGTCTCTCATGATATAGGTTTTCTTATTTTTTTTTTATTTTTGAGTGTCGACATGATGCACTGTTTTATTGTATCTGACTTTTATGTACCCTTTATCCATTAGCGGACATCGTATTTTCTTTGTGATATAAATTTTGTTCCCCCTTTTTTTATTTTGTGATAGGACATACATACATTTCTCTTTTTGGTTAACTGCATGAATGTTCTTATATAAGGAACGTCTCGTTTGATACTGCCTCGAATCGTCCATCAGTTGCGAAAAATCTCTTGAATCTATATAGCTTGGGCTTGTCAAGTTGGATATGCTTAGGTGGAACAACTTTCCTCATAAGACTGACAGAGTGGGGGCTTTTTTCACTACAATCTTATAGCTTGTTGAGTGAGAAAAATAGCCAAACACTCGGCCATGGGTTTGTTGAGTCCGGCTTTCAGGACCCCCCTGAGTCTCAGACTGGGGTTGCATGTGGATTCATGCTCTTGCCATCATCAGATTAGCGAATAAGGGCTCTTCCACTGCGACCTTTGCTTGTTGAGTGCAAAGAGCAGCCATCGACTTTGTCAAGAGGTTGTTGAGTTTGGCCTTCAAGACCTAGTTGAATCCTAGACTTGAGCAATAAATAGGCTTCTACTTTTGTCATCGTCATACTGATAAGATGAGGGCTCTTACACTATGGCCTTTGCTTGTTGAGTGCAGAGAGCAGCCAACGACTCTGCCAGACGCTTGTTAAGTCCGGTATTCAGGACCCATTTGAGTCATAGAGTTGAGTAGAAGGGGATCCGTGATTCTCCAACTTAACTGGTTGAAGCTTACAGATTCAGAAGGTTTCTTGTCTGATGTTCAGAAACTTGGCGAGCCTTAAAGACGGACCTCTGACTTTTTGTAAACGTCTTAGAAATGGGTATCAAAAGAATGTATCTCTTTCATTGGCAATCTGAACATCCACTTGGGGATCTCGACATGGAGCACGATGTCGACCCAAATGATTGAAGACTTATGGGGATCTCGACGTTCAACGCGATGACAATCCAGTTGATTGAAGAATTTTGAGGATCTCAACATTTAGCACGAAGTCGCCTTAGATGATTATTTTTGAATGGTTGGATCAATGAATTCTTGGGGATCTCGGCCATGAGCACGATGTCAACCCAAGGGAAAGAAATATCGGTGTAAGGCACGATGCTGACCGTTGCAACTAGGAATTTCGGTCTTAAACTTAGGGTATGTTTGGGGCAGCTGCAGCTTATTGAATAATCTGCTGATAAGCTAGATGCGGTGGCTATTACAAATTTTTTGTTTTTTTGGAAAATTCAGATCACTGCCAATAAACTGCCACCGCACCTAGATAGGTGCGGTGTGAAGACATTGTTTTTTGCATTTTGAAAACACATAAGCTGCCAAAACTCAGTTTACTCAAACAGGCCAGGTGCGTTTTCAAAACGCCACCACACCAAAGAAGATGCCCCAAACGGGCCCTTAATATGCATTTGAAGGGGAACCTCCTATCTTATGCAAGGATTTCAGGGATTGGGCCACTAGAGGGTCTTTAACTTTGAACTCGATGTCTGCTCGAATGATGTACACCAATGCTTAACCATAGAATGATTTCAATATTTGAAAGCATCCGAGGATCTTGGCATCTAACACGTTGTCGACCCAGATGGTTGAACAACAATACCACCATTTAAACTTTTAGAAAGTGAAATACACTGTTTCATGCATAGGTAAGGTGGTATGTATTGAAAAATTCATGAATACGTGTTGGATATGTAAATTTTCCTCAAGAGATTTAATGGCAAAGTTATCAGGCCACCACATTTTATTTCAAATCAAAACATAAAGAAAGCAATAATATATTTTTAACATATCAAATATCTTTTATTTCAAATCAAAATACACGGCCTCTTAGGTGCTTGTTTTTGAAAACCGAAAAAAAAAAAAAAACACAACCAGAAGCAAAATTAACTTAAACATTACCTTAATTTGTAATGTTTGAATATCACATACATTCAAGTTGTAAATCTTTATTCGCCATTTTATCCTTTTCTTCCATTAGTTTGCCATCTCAGTCACAATTTTACCCAATTACTGAAGCAAATATATTGTTTTTCTATTGTTTTAGATGTCTTATAAATATTTCCTGCATCCCTCAATGCAGGCTGTGAGGCAAGAACTGGAGAGAATGGGAACCCAATTCTCAGAACCATGCAGCAGAAATTTTTCTGTAAGTTATCAGAAATCAGTTTCTCATGAAGATTTCCGAGATTTCTTAGTTAGAGCTGCTGAGTTATATTGCTGCGGTAATAGCGATTTAACCCAAGTAAATCACATAGGAGAAATTGCTTGAAGCCTGGAATGAGTTAGATGACAGCATAGCGAAATAATTTTACATATTTACAACACATTTTCTTTTTTTTATTGTCAAATAAACCAATGCTTGGACCATATAGGACATAGCTCATTATGGTAGTTGGTAGAGTCCTGCACTGAAATATTGCAATTTCCTCAAAAATATAAAGTTTAGAACCAAGGCAATAGATTTTTCCCAAGTTGTTTGAATTTTTTTTATTTTTATTTTTTTAGAATTTGTTTCTTATATGACTTAAGTATTGGAAAACTGAAAAAAAAGGAAAGGGAAATTTACATACATACCACAAAATTTGATATTTACACTTATAACACATTATTGTTATAAATATGCATGAAAATGTGTATTTCATTTAAAAAAAAATAGTGATTGCGGTCTTTTTGATGTGATATTGAAAATTTGAGTGGTATGCATGTAAATATGGAATGTTTAGATGTTAGATATGTAGATACATACAAATTTTGTGGTATTTAGATTCAAAGTTTGCAGGTATCAATCATCCAAAATTATAATGATCGAACGTTAATGAGGTCCAGAGATTCGAATTTTGTGATATTATGTTGCTCATTCATTGAAATCTACTGAAAAATTATAAAATATGTGTGAATATCAAGTTAGAACCAATTTACAACTTGTGGGATAATTGTAATCTGATATTATGTTATTTCAATCCATGCGGAAGGGGAGAATTGCAACAAATTGTCGTTTATGATAGTATTCTTAGCACCAGCAATTGAGCCATGCTGTCATATATACTTCTTTACTTCATTTTAATTTTGTTCCCACATCAAAAACAAAATTTGTTTGATTAACGTGCTATTGGTCGGGTTATTTTATTGTCAGATTTACATACATAACTCTCAATTTTTTATGTATTTATATATCTTATACCTAAAATTCAATTTTTACAGATGTATTACCTTTCCTATATAAGCAGTTCCCATTTTAAAAGTTAAAAAAGAGGCATTTTTAGGGTCTGTTTGGGGCCAGCTGATTGATTATTTATAAGCAGATTATTAAATTATTAAGCTGACTTGTTGTTTTAGCGACATTAATATACGTATGTAAATGCCTCAATTTTAATTTATAATCACTGTAAATATGCTAATAATTGTTTTACCAGATATCATAATGATAAGAAAATAACATTGCAATTGTTCAAGAAACAACGAAATAATTACCGTAATATTAATCTCAACCAAAACTAATCAGACTTTAATACCAAAACCCCTCATGAACGAAACTTAAACGTCATATTACGATTTTATAAAAATAAGTTTTTGTCTTATTAATTAGGACATCAATATCAAAGTTTACTGAATTATAGTCCATTTTAATCATCTCAAACGCTTTGGGTGTTGTTTTAGGTTCTTTTATGGCCATTAGTCGGACGATTTAGATGATGCTATGATGGTACGCTATATAGTGGCACGGATTTTAAGGTATATTTAAATTTAGATGTCTAATCAACACCAACATTATACTTATAACATTAAATCCCAAATCTTTCATATCACATTAATATTATTACTATCTTTAGGTACAGGAAAAAGACAACAATGTAACAACTGAAGTTTAGGTGCTATTTATGTAAGTACATAGGAATTAGGCGATATTTATGTAAATCTTCCGAAATGAGTTGATGAGGTGGTATTAAATGCAATAACAACTGGTCCATACAATCACGTGGGTATATCTAGATTTTTCATATTAAATAATTTAAAATATATTAATAGAGAAGGTGAGCTGATTTGGCTATTATTTATTTGCTTGAAATATTTATTAAGAATGAGTATTTATTTTTTTATTTATGGGCTTATGAACTATATAGCATTGATACTTCTAAAAATATGTCGTACTCGTATCAGACACGTATCATGAATCTCAAGACACTTTTTTGAGAAAGAAACATTCAAACTTTCAATTAAGTGTCATGCAAAGCTCCGATTTCATCAAACTTATAGTCAAACTGATCGACTCGATGAGACGGACCTAATAATATCAAATTTAGTCCAATCAAAGTCAAATCAAGTTATTAAACCACTCTTAGAGGATTTCCAAACACATTTGGAAGGAAGATGCCGATGCTAGCAAGCCTATACTCGAATCGAGCGTTTCAACAAGAAGAATCCAACGAGCCCAAGTTTGCTCAATTCTGACATCGTTAAGGCACTCAAATGTACATTAAATGCCGCATGATCGAAGGAAACTCTCTGAGCCGCCTGATCAAAATGGTTGATATTCTTGTATTAATTGCACCCAGAACACTAAATAGACCCCCACCCCTCACATGGGAAAAAGTTGAAGTCTACAGAAAGAGCTTGAGGACTTGAGAAGAAGCTGCAACTAAGCATCACTGTTGATCGTCGTCGACCATCGCCGACCACTGTCATCTAATACCGCCGACCGTCGAAGACCACCGCTGACCTCCGACAACCACCGACGATCGTCGTCGACCTCTGCCAACCATCATCGATTACCACTAACCACAATCGATTACCACCAACCAGATGCCGTCAGTCGACATTATAATTTAAAAAATATAGTTACTCTTTCTCGTCTCTGGGATAAAGAGATTTTTGTAATCATAAATCAATAGCGGATTTTTGCAACTGGGCCAGACCCCGTGGCTTTTCCTTTATGGGTTTTTCACGTAAAAACTTCTGGAGTCATCGCCGCTTCTTTCTCTTTCATCTGTGTATGTGCTGAACTTTCGTACAACACTAAGACGATATTCCGTTACTCTACCGCTGCGAATTTTCTAGCACACATCACTTCTACTGATCATTCGAGCCACCAGTGTTGGGTGCATGATCTCGGGGAAGATTTTCTGTCGTCTTCTTCTCCTTACGGCGTTTCTTGTAACCCTTTAGGCTTTCTTCATGCGGTTGTGTTTCCTTAACGTTTTGGCGAGGATCTTCTCTTCTTTTCCCTTTCTCTTGGGAAATCTCTGCCATATTTATTCTATTGTCATTCCTCGGAGTTTTATCTTTTCCTCCTTTTACCTTCTTCTTCTTCTGATCTATTTATGGTTTTCAATCAGCTCCTCTTATGAACTGGGAAGAATTAATTGCTCCAGCTACTGATTTTAACTTATCTTTTGTGTCTTGCACAGATGATAAAGTGGTTTTCTGGGATGAAAATGTAGATACTGATTCCAAACAATACCATCTTTCGTTAGTTGATTATGTTTTAGGAAGAAAAACTTTCTATGACAATCTTCTTCAAAATATTGGTCAGATTTGGAAAAAGTTTAGTTGATTTTTTTTAGAACATATTATTTAAAAATTAAATTTCATAAATATGAATTTTTCAATTATAAATTAAATTTATGAAGTATGTTGTGATATTTTTTATAAGGAAAAATAAAAAATATATATATTATATATTAATAGTTAATTAAAATATAAAAATAAAATCAATTTTTTTAATTATGTTATTTCCTTGTATCATACCGTATTCGTGCTTCATAGCACATGAATCAGCTATTTTCTGGCATAGTCAAATAAATAAACATACCCAATTTATTACATCGCAAGAACACGTATTAATTAGGATATATTTTGAATGTATTTTAAGTTTACTCTTCTCATTACATCAAAAATACTCGTCCACACACACAAATCATCTACGTATAATAATTTTTTTTTTATAAACACACCCAATTTATTAAATTTATATTTAGTGCCGAACATTAAACATATTTTTGATTTAATAAAAAAGTGATAATATGTGATTTAATATAAATAGCACTTGCGTGAGGAGACCTACATTGAGCACATCACACTCACATGCGAGCGATTATTGCGTGCGGAGACTAGGGCTGTCAATCTGGCTCGTTGTTCGCTAACAGCTCGTTGTTCGCTAACAGCTCGTGTTCGGCTCGTTAATTAGCTCATGTCCGGCTCGTTCGTTAAGCTTAATGAGTAGTTTTGGATTGGAACTCAGATAGGTCAAGGGAAGCTCCAAACACAGCCAATTTTTGTCTAGATATCAAACTGTTTGTTCGCTCGTGTTCGGCTCGAAAATAAATAATTAAATAAATAGATACATAATAAATATTCATAAAATTAAATATTATAAATTTTAATTAATTAGTTTTTTTTAATTGTCATATTTATAAAAATTAATTATTTAAATTATTATATACAACAAAATATTAATAATAATATATTACTAATACCTATATAAGTATTATATATTTATATAGTAATATAATATTAGTTTTATGAACCCCACCACCCCATTTTTCTCGGCTCTCTCGAACTTTCTCACTTTCGGCTGCCTCCCCCACTCTCCCTCTAACTCTTCTTGTTCTTCTTTCGAAAATCCTTTCGGCCGACGGCCGCAACAACTTAGGGTTTGCCGTCTCCGTTCGTCTTCTAATATCGACTTGTATATCTCTTCGGATAGTCAGTGACTCAGTGTTGGTTCGATTGCTCGGTATTCTTGCTTGGTCGCTTGTTTGGCTACCTAGGTGTTATCTCTGTTTATCTTCTCTCTAATATTTCATATTATCTCTTGGTTCACCTCTTATCTTATATTTACTTAAATATATTTTACATTTATTTGGATTTTTTTAGGGAAACCTAGCTTTGTTTGGGTTTTTGGCAGAATCGCAGTGCAGTTTCACATATTGCATTTATATATTTATTTTTTTTCTATGGATGAGAATATGAGATCTGATCTAAGTGTTTTGTTGTGAAATTTAGTTCGGCGTGTATTCTGTGGTGAATCATTATGGGGTTCGCTTATTGCTTCTAATCAGAATTTTTTTGGTGATGAATACTATGCAGAATACTATGCTTCTTTCCTTTAGCTTTTCAAAACAACAACATCTATTTTTCTTTAGGTTTTCATCCAGTTGATATTCTTCTATTTTTGTCTATGATTTCCAGTTGATGTTACAAGTTATGTTTATAGAGCAAGATCGTATATGAATATTTGAGTTCAAGTTATGTAGATCAGCCTTGCTGTGAAATTTAGTTAGACTTGCATTGTGTGGTGAATCATTATGTGGTTTGGCTATTGCTTCTAGATCAGAATTGTAAGGACTGCTTTATAATGGTAGACATATCATAATGATTAATGAGAAGTATTACATATTCAGCGGTGGTTCGGCTATTGCTTCTAGATCAGAATTTTTTTTGTGAAGAATATTATGCTTCTTTCCTTTAGCTTTTCAAGAATTCTTAATACTAATTCCGTAGTTTTGATTTCAGTTAGTGTACAAGTGCAAATATGTTCAAATTAAATCTTTCACAATCAGATTCATCCAACAACAATCAGATTCATCCAACAACCATCCAACAACCAGTTGCTACCAGAAGCTCAGAATAACAACGATATTGTCATTCATAATTTACCAAGTACAGAGCCAAAAATAATACCTTAAGTTGTCATTGATAATATCAGTGAAGAAGTCCTTAACAAAAAGGGTAGGAAGAGGATGTCAGCAGTGTGGGAGTATTTTGTTGAGGCAATATTTCTGATTAAAGGGGTACAAACTACTTTTTGGCAGTGCATTTGTTGTCGAACAAAATTTCAAAAATCTAAAACAGGAACTATTTCTCAACTTCTACGTCATGTGAGAGAATGTGGACAAATCAAAGCTAAAAATAAGGAAGCCGTTGGTCTTGCCGAAAAAAGCAAAAATTGTTGGAATTTTATGCCAACTGATTTTGATACAGATGTTGAGATTTCACAGATGTTGAGATTTTCCAGTTTTTCACGATTCAAAAAACTATGATCAACACAAGATTCGAGAGATAATCTCCAAAATGATTATAGTGCATGAGTATCCTTTTAATATTGTTGAACATACATGATTTAACATTTTATTGAAGTCCTTAAACCCAAATTATGAGAAAGTTTCAAGAAACACAATAAAAACTGTGGAGTTTTTATTCATCTCTTCTATTGTATTGGTTGTTTGGACCAATCATTGATCACATGGATTTTATTTACTTGTAGAAGTGTGAGACTCAGTTTTTAGAAGTGTGAGACTCAGTTTTATTTTTCACTATTCATTGATCACTTGGACTAATCAGTTTTTATTCATCTCTTCTAATGCATTGGTCGTTTAGACCAATCATTGATCACTTGGATTTTATATGATCAACAAATAAATTTTTTTCTCTAATAAATACTGAATAATTTGATCACTAATAATCAATATTTGTCTCTTATGTATAATTATTTATAATATATATGATGCAGGTATGGAGTATGTGGAATGAAGAGAATATCTTGAAATTTCTACTTGAATCTCTACTCATTTTTGTCGGAGTTTTGTTCTATAATCTCTACTCATCTTTTAGATTGATTTAATTTTCAGCATATGTAATGAACAAGTTGTACGAAACAATCGAAGAAACTTGGGAAGAAGTTTGCAACTGGAGCATCGATGAGGCAGATGATAATCTTTAAGAACAGCTTACCAGAAGCAAGAAGCAGCAAAAGGTGTGTACCACCATGAGCTCTTCAAAGAAAATTGTCAAACTTGCTCTCAAGATGGATCCCAATTTGAAGAATCTGGAGAAAATTGTGAAGAAACATGATAATATTTTTGTAAATTTGTAAAATTTATAAATAAGTTTTTATTTTGTAAAATTTTATAAAATTATATTGAAGTTTTTGTAAAAGTTTGTATTGTAAAATTTGTAAATGAAGTTTGTATTTTGTAAAATTAGGTAAAAAAGTATTAATATCCTTTTTGTAAAATTTGGTTTGCAAATTTTTTGTAGAAATTTATTCTTCAAATTTGTTTGGAATTAAGTTGTTAGTACAAACATTTTTTTAAAAAATTTATGATTTTTTTTAATAAATTATTATAATAATTTTATATTATAACGAGTCAATTTCGAGCAGAACACAAACACGAATATCATTTTCGAGCCGAACACGAACACACTGTTCACGAGCCATTTCGAACACAAGCCAATTTCGAATCCGATTTCGAACGAGCCGAACATGAGCCAAGCCTGAGCCCGCTCAAGCTTGGCTCGTTTACAACCCTAGCGAAGACCTCACATAGAGCGGCGTGCGTTCTCCGATCTTAGCCGCGCATCGTGGCTATATGGCAGTGAGACCACTGTCATACAGTTGCGATGCGCGGTTGTCATCGGAGGTCCTACTGTCATACAACCGCGATTTACGGCTGTGATTGGAGAGCGCAAGCAGAGCTGCGTGCGGAGAGCTCACGCAAAAATTAGATGTCGCATGCAGAGGTGATTTTATAAAAGCATGAAATATATACTACAATTTCATTTTGTTTATAAATTTTGGAAGTGTATTATAAATGAAGATTATTTATTATCAAATTTTTAGAATAATAAATTTCTCATGTTATTAAAGAAAAAACGTAAATTTTTAGAACGAAATTAGATACGACATAATTCCTATATATATCTAACATATTATATTTGCATTTTGAATACTTTAGTGTCATAACAACGCAGGAAAAGATGTATTCATTTTTAAACTGTTAGTAATGATGGGTAGTTTTGTTGTAATTTTGAAAGTGTAGGTGTTAGTGCTGATGTTTAAAGGAATATTGGTATTTATGCAAATACCTGTTCTTAAAATTTTAAAAATAATATTTATCCTCGTGTAATACACCCATAAAAAGAATATATATATATATATATA